GTATGAACATTGGTTGCACTACTAGAAAAAAGGGTTTTCACCAACGGGATTTTCCATGAGAAATTTCCTATGAATTTTCGCTGCAGCTTAAATGGAATGCATTAAAATACATTTTTTAATAATTCTGAAAATCCATCGGAAAGCTGTAGAAAACTTCTAATATTTTCCGGATTTCCGATGGAATGCATTACTTGAATTTAAAAAACATGTTTTCTACTAATTATGGAAATACGTTAGAAAAATACTAGAATTTTCCTCCAGATTTCTTACCAAATGCATTAGATGATTTTAGATGACATTTTCTTATTAATTCTGTAAATTCGTAAGACATCCGTGGGAAAATATTAGAATTTTCTTATGAGTTTCCTATGTAATGCATTATTTGATTTTAAAAAGCAATTTCGCTTTAATTTAAAATTTTCATCGAACATCTATCAGAAGTATAGAACCCAACAACAATATAATTGCATTCTTATTTGGTCTAAATTGGAAAATTACAAATAAATTTAGTATCACATCCATTGATAGGTAACAAATTTGCGATGTATCAACAATAAAAAATTCAGTAACTATGCGTTTAGTATGCAGACTACATGAGATGAAACAGGACAAAAAGAAATAGCCACATGTTTGGTAGAGTAAGGAGAGAGTCAAAAAAAGTCCAAGGAAGCTTATAGTCTTCACCTCTTTCTTTCGTTAGATTAAATGTTTGGTCAACATTTTTGTCTTATAAATTGAAAATCTACATTAAAAGTCAACATGATTCTTTACTTCATTTGTTTTGTAAGGAGATCGGCCCCAATTGAAGACACGATACTTTCAACCAAGAACTTCTATATATAACACCTCTGTGATGGGTAAATCTCCATGAAGGGGCAACTTTCGTGTAGTTTATGCCATGGGACAAAAATCAGATAGGACAACATGAGACAAAAACTTGATTTCATGGGACAAAACTTAAGATTTTTGATTCACCCATGAGACTAAACCATAAAATTACTATATTACTAATTTCACACCATCTGATATCTAAACCTAATCCAAAATCATCACCTTCATCTAGCATGACCCAGATTCTTCATCGCCTCCTTCAAATTCCAGGTGCGATTTCTCCAAACTTCTAACTCGATTTCTCCAAATTCCTGGTGCGATTTCTCCAGGTTTTCTCCAAACTTCGGACTCGATTTCTCCATCATCGTCGATTTCCATGGTCTTCGATTTCTAACTTCCATTCTTTTCGTCTTCTTCATGATCTCTTTGAAATTATTTCTTATTTTCGTGTGTTCCTTTTTTTTCTAATTTTCATTACCCAAAATGAATGGAGTATCATTCTTGGGGCTCATTAGGGAGAACTAATCGAATGTCACATGTCTGGAATGTATTACCTTCCTTGTCTCCAGATTCCAGATTCCAGATTCCATAGCCCTTAACTCCATTTGTATATCCAAGCAAATGTCCTTGAGTGGCACGAGGGTCAAGTTTGTCTTTTCCTGCATTATGAACATACACTAGGCAACCAAAAATACGAATATAACTAGAACAAATTGATTTTTTTACCTCTCCATACCTCTTCAGGAATCTTACCATTAATTGCCGATGATGGAAGGCAGTTAATGATGTGCACGACCATAGATAAAGCTTCGGCCCATAAAACTTTAAGGAAATCAGGGGTTAACCTTATACATCTTGCTTTCTCAAGCGATGTCCGTTTCATGCATTCTGCTACTCCATTCATTTGTGGATCATGTGGAGCAATAAAGTGTTGATGAATGCCCTTTTCTTTGCAAAAGGAGAGAAACTCACCACTTTTGAATTGTCGACTATTATGCGATCTCAACACCTTCAACTTCCAATTTGAGTTTCCATCAAGGCTAACCACTGTTTGAACTTCTCAAACACTTCTGATTTCTATTTCATGATAAAAATCCAAACTTTATGAGAATAATCATCAATGAAAGAGACGAAGTACTGACTTCCACTTTGGGATTTAGTGCTAGCCATCACCTAAGCATTTGTGTGTATGTATTCAAGAATTCCATGTTATTGTGTTTGCCAACACCAAAAAATACATTTGTTTGCTCTCCAAGGATGCACTCCCTGCAGAAATCTAGGCTCCTGAATTCCTTCTCCTTGATAAGGGTTCATGTTGGTCCCGTAAGGGTCTACAAGAATAGAAACAGTTTGTAGAAGGGGAGGATGAATACAAACACAGTATTTTCAAATTTAAAATATATATTGATAGAGAAGATCAATACAGATTTTACAAGACTGTTTGCGGAAAGATAAGGTAATGAAAACATATCTAA